TCTTCTTCTTATAGATTTCAAATAGCCTAGTAGTTCTACATACTTATATATGTTACTCTTAGTCGTAGTTTTTTTCTTATTGATTTTTCTTCCATTTTAGATTTTCTATTCAACAAAAAGAAATATATTTTCTTTATCATTCAATTCTACTCAAATGGCAAATCAGGTCAATGACGTTGACGACAACGAAAACAACACCAACAACGAAGTCAATGTATTAGAAGAAGAGGATGACAATGAAATAGATTATCATCAGTTTCCAATAGAGGATCTCAATGATAGTGATGGGGATGATGATGATGAATGGTCATTATCTAATTCTGAATTATCTCATCATCATTTTGAACCACAATGTTTAAAAAATCTAGATTGGAAAGATTTCGATGATTGTATTCGTACGATAGATAAGGAATACTCCAATGAAGATGAACGTAAAGATGATTTTAATGTAAGACAACAAATGTTAATATTACGACGTAAATCAATCGAGGACAATATCATACTAAGAGCTGCTTATAAAGCTCCTGGAGTTTATATATTTTTAGCAAAGAAATTTCAAAAAAAATCATTAGATTTCATGTTACAAACAGGTGCTTACTTATGTGTTCAAGAACTTGATGATGATGAAGAAAAACAAAAACATGCCAGTCAAGAATATTTAGCTTCTATTGTCCATCGAGTAGAAACTACATTAAAAAATTTACTTGATTCAAAATCGATTAGCGAAGTACAATATACAATGATGAATGTCAATCGATCATTAGTACGATTGAATTATTTATATTTCGTTCCAAGTACAGATGAGGTATATGTCTCTTTTTTTTTTTTGTTCATATTTGAAATTTTTATGTATATAGATTAATTTTTTTTTTTTTTCTACATATATATTTACTAGATGGAAATTACACTTCATCCAATTATGGTCTGTAATGATGGACCAACAATGAATATAGCTTGTTATCTCAATCGTCTTCTTGGACCAATCTTTAATCAAGTTACTCATTGTACACAATTTTCTAAAGGTATCGATGTCATTCATGCTTTGGAATTCTATCAGAAAAAAGGAACTCTTCAACCAACGACGTTGTTTATAAAATTCAATATTGATAAATTATGTATAACATTCTCTCATGAACAAGTAATTGAAGCATTGAAATATTTTCTTGATCATTACACATCAAATCATGATCTTATTCATGGTATGACGAATCATACTATTATTGAATTGGTTCGTCTTGTTTTGGAAAATCAATTTTTTATCTATGATAATAAATTATATCAACAAATGAAGGGTAGTGCTTCTGGTTCTGCATTAACATTTTCATTAGTCTATATCTATTTATTCTATTGGCGACCGGATTTAATGCATATTTTTATAAATCCAAATGAATTATTTGGCAGGTACTGTCCTATCTTTTGTCTGTTGTCCGATCATCTTTTTTTTCTTTTTTTTCAAGATAGAAATTTATTTTTCTTTCTTTTGCTTACTTTTTTTTTTCTATTTAGATATCGTGATGAAGCATTTATAACATGCAATAGATCTGAAGATGAATTGGAAACATTACTTCATACAGCAGCTACTCAATTTCATCTACTATCATTTCGGAATATTGTTTCTTTGGACATAACAACATCTTTTATGGATGTTATTTTTGATTGTAATTATGGTATTCTTCATACAAGAGTTCATCATGAATCGGATTCTGGCTGCATATCATATTCTTCATTTCCAAGTGTAACTGAACGTCCTATACATGACAAATCGAAATGGTTACGAAAAGTTTTTTATCGTGCAGTTCGATATTGTTCAGATTTGTTTTATTGGCACACTGACCATCGATTTACTCAATTTTTGTTTGAAAAAAATCATTTGTCCGAAGACTTTTTTAATCAAGTTTATGAACAATTTGCAAATGATTTCGGTATATTCAAAGCAAACCAACGTTTTGGTGCTGAGGATGCACATGAAATTATTCGTCAAAAACTTTTTCGTTATGATAAATTTCTAGTCGAGTTGAATAAAAAACAACAAAAACCAAAAGAAACTCTATGCCATCCTGTACCACTTACAGTGACAAAGTCCAATCCATCATCTATCCTACCTGATCTGGATAAAGAATACAATACACAATTGTTCAAAGACTCTTATGATCCGACACGACAACTGGAAGATGTTTGGTTCAAGAGGATAAAATATGCGTCATTTAATTTAACTGCAAACGATGTTCTCGTCAATAAACGACCACCTATTCATCTTCTAACTTTATCTGAAGATAAGAACAAATACTAAAAAAAATCAAACTAAACATCAAACATTACAATGACTTTTGTATGATTTAGAATTCTTCTATCTTCTTCTTCTTCTTCTTCTTCTTCTTCTTGTAATAGATTTGAGTTTTGATAAAGAAATTCATTTTTTGTCTGAAATCTCAGTTTTACTCTCACCATCGCCCTTTACCTATATTCTATTCCATTATTGCTTATGAAAATTTAAATAAATTTTCTTCATTTTGCTTTCTTGTTTTTCTTTATATTTAATAATTCCCTCTTACAAATAAAATAAAAAGCCTTTTCTTTATCTTTCTTTCTAGATTATTCTGCACCAAACAAAATTGTCCAAAACAAATATTAATCATTCTGACCGATATCCTACAATTCAATAAGGTATATTTAATGTACATTAGTAATATCCATAGAGTTGCATAGTCTAGCCGGATACAATTTTGATATTTTTCTTTCTATTGTAAGGATAAAACATACTATTGTTCGGGTCATATGAGAGAGGGTCATAGATAGCCCTAGATTAGCCCGAATAGTACGATGTTTTATCTTTATAATAGTAGAGAAACACTACTACTAGCTGATTGATGAGCTTGTAACTTTTCTCTACTATTGTACGGATAAAATATGGTCTTGTTCCAGCCAATCTAGGGTTATCTATGACTCTCTTTCATATAACCCGAACAATAGTATGTTTTATCTTTACAATAGAAAAAAATAATACATCAATGGGGCATCTGGCCAGACTGGGCAACCCCATATATAGATTATTGTATCATATATAGTAATTCCAATGTTTTATAGTATTTATTTTGAACTACTATAAATTTGATATAATATCATTTGAGACTCCACCTAATGAAGTCACGGCAAGACAGAAACAAGCGTTTGTCGTGGAACGATTTCACTTCTACACACCCATCTGAACGTGTTAAAAATCATTGATACATATTATGTAAAAAAAAAAAATATCTAAGTAGATATTCACATATATGTGTTCTACTTAAGGAATTATATATAGTTAAGTCTACATTCGAAAAAATTAGATATATTTAATGTACACTAGTAATATATATATAGATTATTGTATCAGACATAGTAATTCCATTGTTTTATAGTATTTACTTTGAATTACTATAAATTTGATATAGTATTATTTTCTTGCTGATATTTGTATTATTTTTATTTGGTTTGTTAGTATATTCTAACTGGAACGAAGTTATTCGTATGGACAATGAAATTTCACCACATCGAACTATCTGAAATTCACTAAAAAATCTACACAAGAGTGAACATGATCAAAAACAACTCGGTGAAGAGGTATAATCACACTTGATTGTATTCCTATTTATTTCTCTTATGTGGTTTTCTAAGATCTTTTCACATTATTATGTTTCTCCTTTTAAATGATCATTCATATGTTGATATTAACATTGATTGTCAACGTAGGATTCAATGGCAACTATTCTTTGAAAAATTTGTATCTATGTTTGATTACTATTCGAAGTTCTATCTCTTTTTATCCTTTTTTTGTTATTTAATCTTCATTCATTTTGCTTGTGCCGTAAATATACTGATTGTAGTGTTTCTTTTTCTATCTTGTCTTCGATTTTTTTTCCATTTTGGTACAGTTTATTTATATCAAGACTTCTAGATATTCATATATTTCAACGTAAAAAACAAAAAAAAAAAAAGAAAAAGAAGCTAGATGTAATGTTAATAATGGTTCTATTTGTTTTTTGTAGGAAACAAAAACAATTGTTTTCTTTTTTTGTTCACTGATCGATTAATTGAAGCAATGACATCCGTCATTTTTAATGGTACTAATATAACATTATTTCAAATACCTATCAATGCAACCTATCATCGAATCTATTCTCTTCCGCATAGACCTAATCTCAAAAACATCGAATTATTGGTGAAATTTTTTAATAGTGCTTATACAACAACATCACCACCACCACCACCACTACCACCAACAGCAATAACAACAAAAAGGTCATCAATGATTCGCATAATGGCGACAATAAACAAAGATAATTTACGATTATTGCTTTTAAACATAGGTTTTGTGATCTTCCTATGGTTATTGATACTTATTTTATGTTGTCTCTATGGCTACTTTTTTCAATACTGTATGAAGAAAAAAAGCGAACAAAATCTTTCGGCTATTAAGCAATATTCTACACTATCGAATATGGATGGAAAAAAGTGTACAGAAAAGGTAAGTGAAAAAGTAAAAGAGACTCAACTTTCATTCAATTATCTTTGATTGATCGCAAAAAAGAAAAAAAATCATTGTTCTAGGTATATGATATCAATCAAGACAATAGTATTGTGTATTATTTTCCTGTTTTTTCATCAACAACACAACCATCGACGTACATCTGATCATATTTTTCAGATGCAAAGCACTACTAGAATATCATTTGTATCTTCTTTCTCACTCTTTCACTCTCTCTCTCTCTCTCTCTCTCTCTCTCTTTTTCTTTCTTCCATTTATGATTCTCATTGATTCATTAATGCATTTACTATCACGCTGTTTTTTTGGATTTGTTCTCTTTTACTGATAGACTGCTAGATACATAACTATCTATCTGTTTAATTCTCATCATCTCTCTTGAATACAATTCTTTTTGTTCGAAAGTTTTCTTTCCTTTGAAATGATTGATTATTTCTTTGCTTAGTGAATACAAACCATCACATGCTTTTTTACTAATTAAAGGCGTAAGATGATAGAATATGATCAGGTTTTTTTCTAGTTTGCCTTTTATTTTCCTTCCTCCAACCACTTATGAATGTCGATATACATGGATATATATTGTTTGTATTGTGTTGACTTTCCATTCTTTAGATTGATCTGTTGTGTTTAGCTTAGAGCTACTTTTTTCGATTGTTTCTGCTATTTTCCTCTCTCTAGTTTCCTAAACTTTTAGTTCACGTTTATCTTCTAAAAAAAAAAATAATCTTTCTCAATTTCTTTATGTTCAAAACATATTCTTCGTTTTGTTTTCTAATTTATCTGTCACACTTTCAGATATTTTATCGCTCAAGATATTCATATTGTATTATTTTTATGTGAACAAAATTCTATTGAACATCAATTTCATCAAAAAACTAATATGGAGGACGATCCTATCAAACCAAATACTATGACAAATGACAAAAACGACCAATCAAACAACGGTTTTGATACTAAGGTTTCTACGGCTTGTCCAACCAATTTAAATACAGTAAGATTTTCCTAAATTAATTTTTCTTTTACTTCAAAAAAATTCTCATCATCTGTCTAGGCAGCAACAACAAGCGATACAACATCTGATCAGGATATTCAGATGACTTCATCATCTATGAATATTCAACCTCGTTTGTTTCAAGCAGATTCTATCATCGATTCGACTACTTTTTCATGCATTGAAGTGAATGTTGACAGCAATATGAATGTCGTAGCACAAGAAAGAAAACAAACAAACAAGATAAATTCTAAAGATGAAAATGGTTTGAATAAAATTCTCAATGATGCAAGAGATACACAGATAGAACGACTTTCTCAACGGATTATGAGGGAACAACCTAGAGACGATGAAATAGCTCAATTTATTCTCCAAAAATTTGGTCTTTTAAAAGATAGTACAAAAATAAACACAAATATGAATGTAAATGATACTAACGATCAACAAATTTCCACATCGTCCATCATTTCTACACATCCTGATTGTGTTTATAATGAATATATGAAAAAAGGTAGTAATTATATTGAATTAAATGAGTTCAAATCAACAACAACAACATATGGATCAAAACAATGGCCATCTTCATCATCATCATCATCATCATCATCATCATCATCATGCGTATTGAAACCGGCATTATCTACTTCTTCAACAACAACATTTGAAAATGATAATCAAGAATTATTAGTACCAATACCCGCAAGAACAATGACTGAAAGAGCACAAGCAGAAGAAAGACATCAACATCGAATAGAAATAGCTAAACAAGCAGTCAAATTAGCAGAAACCGATGTTGATAATGCTATGAATCTAATTCGACGAGAAATGTTTGATAAAACTGTTCGATGTGATTCTTGGTAGTATGAAAGAACAATCTACGTTGAATAATATTTCTCTTTCTCTCTGTATCTCTGTTTTAAACTTTTGTTAAGGTATTTGACACTAATTAACTATGTTCATTTACGAGCACAGCGCGATGCTGATCGACGAGGTGATATTTACAAGGAATTCATTTGGCCTCATTCATTTCCTGATTGTACACCGAAACTTCGTAAGTGTATTTCAAATTAGTATTTTCCTCTGCTTCTTCTGTTCTTATCTTCGACAAAAAAAATAGGTGAAGCAATGAATGAATGGATTCAACATGAGTTTTCTCGTGTTAATCGTGCAAAATGTCTCATTCTAATTGGACCAACTAATACTGGCAAAACATCATTTGCACTATCATTACCTGGTCGTGTTAATTATTCTGAAGGAAAATGGAATTTATACGCATGGAATGATTATGCTCGATATTCTGTTTATGATGAAGTCCCATGGGATAATTTTGAAAAACTTGAGTATCCTATTAAACAACATCTACTTACACAGCAAGGAGACGTACAACTAGTGAGTGATCAAAGAAAACAAAATAAAAAAAAAGAATTCTTAAATGTCTACATTCATATATTATTTTCTAAAAATAGAACTATGGAAAGGAAGAAATAATAGACTACATTACTTTTCGACAACCAGCTATTGTTCTACTAAAACCTGAAGATGCCGGCTCATTAATTGCTCAACCATATAGTCGTGGTCAGCAAAACACCGCTGCATATTGGAAAAAAAGAAGTTTCGTCTATATTATGGGTAAGATGTATATTCATAAATATTAATCTTTTAAGACTTATAATTATTTTTTTTTGTCCTATTCAAGGTCCTGACGAATACTTTTACAAGAGACAACCTATAGTAATAAAAAAATGTTGATCATAGTCAAGTGTGCAGCAATTCATTCGTGAGTACGAATGTGAAATGATTCAACGTTATGCAGAAAAAAAAAATTAAAAAAATACTGCTATCTTTTCTTTTTCTTTTTTGTAAATTATATGTACAATATATTTAAGTATCGTTGTATTTGTAACGTTCATTATTCAATTCTCTTTTGTCATCAAATTCTAGAAATATTTGTCAATATCTCATTTTCATTTTCTGTGTATCTAATTTTCTTTACTAATTTATTAGATTTGTCAAAAAATTTGAATCAATTGTACAAATACTTGCCACTTGATAATTTTCATTCAAATAGTAATGAAATACTAACTCTTAGTATTGTGGTAGTTCTTCCCACTGAAAACAATTACTCTGAACGAAAACTATACTTCATTTCACATGATTACTCATATTCGTTACAATATTATTATCGCATTATGTGTATTGCCTTTTTTTAGATATCTATCAAATTCTAGATTGTTTCATTCATATATATTTTCTCCCTATAGTAAATCATGGTAAGAACAAGAGACAAATGTCTTTCCATTCACAGACAATAATGTAAACATGAGTGAATCTTATTATGTAACTTACTATACCAGTGATTATCGTTTAATATTTTTCTTTTGTTTGTCTTTCGGAAATAATTTATATTGCAGTACATTTCATTTTTT